AAATTTCACACAGGTTGAAGCTTTGAAAAGAAACCATGAGGAAGATGAAAAGTTGACATAGACTGAAGATAAATACTCTGGATACAAGAGATTTGTTGGCTTTTGACCTTAGTATCTTCAAAGAGATATATAATAGCTTCATCTTTCCTTGGAGTCAGATGGAAAGCAGAGAGGTAGCTGGAAACAAATATGCTGTTGTGAAGTGCATAATTGTAAAAAAAAAAATAAAATAAAATAAAATAAAAATTGCTGAGTTTTAGCTAGGAGTACATCACAAATTGCTAGAGGTAGAATTGGTTTTCTGTAATAGTTCATTTCACTCAATCAAATAGGATGAATGACTGAACAAGTAACAAGTAATTTAGAATAAGATATTGAGCAAATTAAACTGGGGCAAGTACAGAATAAGACAAGTAGAAAAAAAGTCAACAATAGCATACCAAATAAAAGCAAAAAATGGATTATAGTTGTATACCATGTTCAGGGAGAGAAGAAACTATTTTTAGTAACATTGGTGAGTAGTATGAGACCAAGAGAGTACGAGACTGTCATAGCCCTGGCTCAGTCTGGACACAACACATTAAAAAAAAGAAAGAAAAAAAAAAGGATCAGACATTTCCCTTCTCAGTCCAACAATTAGTTAACACCTTTATAAGCCACTGACTTCAAACTATACCTATATTGGGAGTTTCTGTTTCTAGGCAGTGCTACTTTTTGAAATAGGAAGTGAATGAGATGGAATGAGTTAACTCCACATGCCATGCACAATGGAGGGAAAGAGAAGGAAGATTGTGTGATAATAATACCACATTTCAAGATATAATACTTATGAAATTCTTACTTCAATCTGTACTGAAAATCTCAATTTCCTGGGTAAAGTAAGAAACCATTTAGGATAGTCTTAGCAAGTGAAACTGGAACATACTGCTCACTTTACAAATCTTTCTCGGTGCTCTTTGAAGTGTATTCTGGAGTCTAGAAAAAATTAATGAATGTATAAATGGTGAGCAAGCATCTTCCACCAGCAGAATTAGGTTCATTAAGCATAAAACATCTGATATTTCTTTGCATCCTCAAGTAGAGAAGGGTTTAGAGATCTTTGATATTTTTAAAGAAGTCTAGAAGGTAGGGCTCTTGGAGTTATTACTACAACTGCTTCATGACCCAGAGTATATCTCAAAAGCTCTGACTGACATTTTAAAAGTAAAAAAGTAAGAAAGAGAGGGAATACCTTTAGAAGACTACAGGAATTCCTCATGTGCATTGGCACAGAAGTACTGTATTTAAGAAGAGAACTTTGTCTTTTACAATAAATAAACTTCCTTTTAAGGTGACTAGGCTTATATTCACTAAGATTTATGAAGCAAAGCACTAGAGAATGCAGAAAGCAAAGAAAAAGAAAATAAGGCCAAATAATGTTATTCCTTGGACACATTTTAAAATAGTTACAATGCTTGAAAGCATAGGCTTTCATATCATTGTCAAATAATTGTAACATAATAATAAAAACCATCAATCTGTGAAAATACAGGTTTTGCTATAGAGAAGAATGTGCTTTAATGTATTAAAAGTTCATATTGCTCATAAAGTTCCTTCTTCCTCATTTAGGCAGGAAAATGAATTGAGTTCTCTTCTCCAGGTGACTTTGCCTCTTTGACCTGCCATGGCCCAGTGCTCACTTTATCTGGTGATTCATTTTCAATAACTCCAACAGTATTTGTTCTGACATTTTAATTAAAATATGACCACTACCTCATCCTGATGATAAAAAGGCCTATGTGTCAGTGAAAACTAGCTTTTCAGTGCCTCAGTGCACCTGAGGACCCCTCGGAGCACATAGTTCATACTAAAGAATTTCACTCAGGTTCTAAACAATACATCATTTCAAAATGGGATCACTTTAACCATTAAGATTAATGTTTAAAAATCTAAAATGGCTAGAGGATGCTAAGTAATGAACATGTAATTTCTTCCAGCTTGATTTTTTTAAAAAAGTAAATTAAATGCATTTATAAAATGAAAAGGATAGAAAATATAAATTTAGTACAGTATTTGGGATCACCACACAATGAAATTACAGCAGGAAAAATATGAAAAACTTAAGAATAAAGAAGAAACTTAAAAGATTTTATCAGAAAGATATAGATGTAATTAAAAGCCAAAGGATAATGACTTGTTATTAGGCTGAAGAATATCATTATGTACCATAACTTTGGGAATAATTTTTAAACATTTATATGATACTTTAAAAAGGAGAACATGTAAATATAAAGCAAATTAAATTTCGAATTAAGATGAAGTATATTTTCAGATTGGAGGATTTTATTCAGGTAGTTCACATAGTGGCTAAAGCACTTGACTGCTAACCAGAAGGCTGGCGGTTCAAACCCACCAGC